AAAAAATAAATAAATATACCAAAATTCATAATTTTTAATTCTCTACAAATAGAGATCAATTTTGCTATACTTATTTTTTATTTTTAAATTGACATAAATATACAGTTTTTAAATTTGTATGTTTTTTATATAATAAAATATAAATATGTTAAATCACAATACATAAATCCCATCACTTCTCACAAAAGAAATGAATCTGAGCCGTTTGTTAAAAGCACAATCTTCGTCAATTTAATAATTATATAATTATATTAAATCAAAGCAAATAAAAGAATTAATTAATAATTAAAATAAAATGAAATAAAAAATATAATAATTAAATAAAATCAAATTAAGAAAAAAAAAGTTGTGGTTGGATGTTGGTGTGGTTGCTAATAAACTTGCAAAATTGAGATGGTGTGGTTGAGATGATTATTGATGATGTGGAAGAGAGAGAAAGTAATTAAATATTAGGCTGGTTGAATGATTGGGTGTTTGGAAATGTTGCTGTTATTCGTAGTCTAAATAACCCCCAACCAAGTTTCATCAACAGAGCGATATTCAACTTATCAACAAATGCATTTTTGATAATGTAATCAATTTTTTAATTTGACAAAGTTTATAAAAATCAAACTTTTTTGACAACTCATGCATTGATACCAAAATATCCATGATGCTTACTAAATCATTTTTTTATCTTGAATTCAAAAACTTATTATATCCTAAATCCAAAAGAATCCTCACGAAATTGCGTGCTTTTCATAAAAGAATTTTCATAAATTAATGGTCCGCATTTGTAATTATATTAACTCGTGCATCTATAAGTTACAAAGACTTGACCAAAAAATGTAAAGAATTCAATGGCTCTTCTTTTCAAGACTCTGTAACCGTAAGTGACATATTCTCTAACTTAATGGCTTATAGGGAAATGCTACAATCCCGTTACGAAACTATTCGTCGGAATTTATAATCGTAGATCATCATGTAGCCGTCGGGATTGTAGCATCTCCCATTAAAGAATTGTTCCTTAATGGGATAGCATCTCTTCATTAATATACCAATCTAATTCTATATTTATATATATATATATAATTACTAGCTCTTCTACATTTATTTATATATATAAATTATACCTAGGTGACACTTTTACATTTTCCCCAAAAAACCGTTACTTTTTATTTATTTAACCTAATTAATAGATAATCAATACACTAATCAATTTAAAATACAAAAATCATTTTGAATTTTTTATTACTGACAGTTAACCATATAATGTGTTACCGTATAATGTGATTAGATATTATTATTGTGGTTACATGTAAATTATTTTTTTTGGAAAATAAAAAAAAGTATATGAAACTCCTAAATAAATTATAAATAATTTTAAAAAAATTACATACCAAAATATACGTTACATCCAATATAATAAACACAATTTAACAAAAAATCAACTCCTTTAATCGTAAATTTGGCTGCAAAAAACGTGAAAGAAAAATAATTAATCATTATATGCATACAAATAACTCAGAATATTTTATTTACATTTGTGCAAATGCACCGGTAGAAAAAATTTCTTGCCCCATTTTTTCTTTTAATTTTCTTTTTGGCGCTATACTTTTATCTTTATATCAAAGTTGGCCCAACCGTCACCATTTCCAGATTGCTTGCCACTCCTTTTTTCCGATCAAGCCAACAGAGAAAAAGAGGAGATTCCGGTGTAGGAAGTTTCAAGCGCCACGCGCTCACCACGCAGCTGCAGGGAAAAAAAGCTTGGCGTCTTTCAATTAATACCAATCGAGTCTCGATGTCGATCTGCTGCGAGGTTTTGGATTTGCCCTAGCAGATATTTTTTCATGCCAATTTCATCAGTTGGTACGTTTAATTCTTACAATTGTGATGAACATTGATCGACATTCTTATGTTTATGGTAAAAATGCGAATGGCGTATGAAAAAGGGTTTTCCTCCAGACTTTGATGGACGTTTCTTCTCAATGTAATCAATTTTAGGGTTCAATTTTTCTTGTTTTGTGCTATATTTTCTTTTATGTTATCGTGCGTTTTATTACCTTCAGATATTTATGAAGGTGTGGACACAAGCATTGTTATGCTGGGGTTATTCTCACCGAGTTGAATCGAGTTGTGGGAGTTGGGGCTCTGAGTGTGTGGTCGGAATCTAAATTGTTTTTGAGGTAGAGATTGGAGTGGGATTAGGCATTTGATGATGATTTTTGTCTGTTTATTGGAATTTTGAGGATGAAGAGGTTGAAGGGTGGTGAGCCGTCAAGTGTGAGGAGGTTCAAGTTATCATACCTTCTGCTGGGTGCAGCCTTGTTTTATTTGATCCTTGTTTTCTTTAAATTTCCGGAGTTTTTCGAGAGTGCATCTGTTTTGAGCAGTGATGATAGTCATGGCGGTCTTCATGGACTCTCCATTGTTGATGAAAAGGGTGCAGAGATGTCCGAATCAGACATTAGCTCAGATGGGTTTCACAGGATATTACAGAACAATGAAAAACAAGGTGGTTCTGTAAACTCTGGAGATGTAATTTCTCGAGAGGAGGAGAATTACCAAAAACAAGAGATCCCTACATCGCAGAGGTATGGTCGAATAACTGGTGAAATTTTGAGGCGAATTAATAGCACAAAGAATATATCTGTGCTGGACAAGATGGCTGAGGAGGCTTGGGTCTTAGGGTCCAAGGCATGGAATGACGTGAATAAGTACGACGAGAAAGACATTGACATGAGCACGATACTCGAAGGAAAGCCTGAGTCGTGCCCTTCTTGGGTTTCAATGAATGGAGAGGAGTTGGCCAAGAGAGATTATATAATGTTCCTACCGTGTGGTCTTGCTGCAGGTTCTTCAGTCACAGTAATTGGGACCCCACACCATGCCCATCAGGAGTATGTTCCACAGCTTGCTAAGCTGAGGGTTGATGATGCATTGGTTATGGTATCACAGTTCATGGTAGAACTACAAGGGCTGAAGGCTGTGAATGGGGAGGACCCACCAAAGATTTTGCATCTGAATCCTCGGTTAAGAGGTGACTGGAGCCATCAACAAGTGATTGAGCATAATACTTGTTACAGGATGCAGTGGGGTACAGCTCAGAGGTGTGATGGGTTGCCATCCAAAAGTGACGATGATATGCTGGGTAAGATTCTTGTTTCTGGGTTTTTTTTTTTGGTGCCCTTGGTTCAGATTTTTATTTACTTTTTCCATACACCTTTTTGTGTGAGAATAGTATTTAGATATTCTGATATCAGAAGGTTATAAAAGTGTGAATGTTAATTCAAATAGATGAGATTTGAGAACTCATGTTACTTTATATCTAAGAAATGGAAAATATGAAAACACAGAATCCTATCTTTTTCTTTAAAGTTAACACAGCCATGACTGTATGAAACTTCCAAAGCTTCTTCACTTGGTAATGGGAAATTGATTATTTATTTATTTTTCCACAAGATGTTATAATTTGAATATACTGCACCGTCTTGCCAATGTATGGGTATCTTTTGCCTTGCAGTTTTCATCAATAAGTTTCTAGACTTCTTGACCGAATTTATGTGTTAGATTTTGGCATGTTCTCTAGATCATTAGTCTTTTTGTAACAATTTGTTGAATACAAAAAGGCGAGTCACTTGGCCCAAACAGCACAGAAGTCTCCGGAGCTCTTGATAGAATGAGTCCTTTTTATCTTTGTCTGCTTATCTAATGAAGAGCTACTTCTCGTTTCTGTTTTATTTCCCCCTTTAAATTAATTGTTTCAAATATTTTATCCTGCAGTGGATGGGCAAAGGCGGTGTGATAAATGGATGCGTAATGATGTCATAGATACAAAGGAGTCTAAGATATTTTCATGGTTTGAGCGATTTATAGGACGTGCAAAAAAGCCAGAAGTAACCTGGCCATTTCCCTTTCGAGAAGGCCGGATGTTTGTTTTAAATATACGTGCTGGAGTTGATGGTTTCCATATAAATGCTGGGGGTCGTCATATAACATCATTTCCATACCGAGTGGTAACCTTCTGCGATCTTTTGAATTACGTCAAGTGATAGTTCAGACTTGGTTGAAGTTTGGCCCTTAATTATGTGACCAAATGCGAAACTTCAGGCTTGGTTGAAATTTAGCCCCTTTTCATGTAACCAAATGCAAAGTATATAAAACAGCACATGAGATATCATTTTTTTTATGTCTATGATCTTTTCGTTGTTGGCTTGTATTACTTCTTGACAAGTCTATGCTGTCTGTTAGAATTCTTGTTTATTCTTGTATAATTACAAGGGTAAGGTCTGCGTACAACAGACCCCCCAGATTCCAACCAGTTGGGAATATACTGGGTATGTTGTTGTTGTTGTTGTTGAGATACTTCCAAGAAATTTGTCTGCTTTAAATATCCTATCCATTTTCATCTTCCATGTTACTCGGAGATCTCTAGAACAAATCCACATTTTCTGAAGTATATTGTTATTTTTTATATAGGGTTTTACACTGGAAGACGCAACGGGATTGGCAATCAAAGGTGATGTGGATGTTCATTCAGTATATGCTACCTCGTTGCCAACCTCTCATCCAAGTTTCTCACCCCAAAGAGTATTAGAGTTCTCTGAGAAATGGAAATCCCATTCCCACCCCTTACCCAAAGGGAGTGTTCAGCTCTTTATTGGAGTTCTTTCTGCTACAAATCACTTTGCAGAGCGTATGGCTGTAAGGAAAACGTGGATGCAATCTTCAGCTATTAAAGCCTCCAAAGTAGTTGTTCGGTTTTTCGTTGCACTGGTGAGACACCTTTTTCTTTCAATCACATCTTCTTCCCCGATAATACCATGGAGTGTGACAGCCACTCCTTATAATAATTTGACTGTGCAGACACAAGGGTTTCCTTTCTGAAAATCTGTGTATATGAATTTTCACACCCCCCTCCCCCCCTTCCAAGAAAAAAAAAAGGAATACAGAAAGGGATATTGAGAAATGAATGGTACTAGTCAATGAATTTTCGGCAGAACCTGTCATTGTCTGTTTCTTCAGTATGTTTTACTAGCAGATTTGTATATGTATTGCTGACATTTTACCAATCTATTTGTAGAATCCTAGGAGTGAGGTGAATGCAATTTTGAAGAAGGAGGCTGCATTCTTTGGTGACATAGAGGTCATACCGTTCATGGATCGTTATGAGCTAGTAGTCCTCAAAACTGTTGCAATTTGTGAATATGGGGTATGCTCAATTTCATTTCTTGCATGTCATAATGATTTGTGCAGGCTTTGTAACTCGCATTTCATTTTTCTTTGTAGGTCCGGAATGTGATAGCTGCTTATGTAATGAAATGTGATGACGACACTTTTATTAGGGTAGACACTATCTTAAAAGATATTGAAAGTGCTTCTTCTGGGGGGTCGTCGTTGTATTTGGGCAATCTAAATCTCTTGCACCGACCTCTTAGGAGTGGTAAATGGGCCGTCACTTATGAGGTGGGTTTTGTGCGTGTAAAAGTGGAAATTGAATTAAGCTCGTGCTACTGAGTTTGCAAAACATGTATATGCTAAGGTAAGCTTACCGAGAATTCTTTGCCTGCAGGAATGGCCAGAGGAAATTTATCCTCCGTACGCCAATGGGCCTGGATATGTAATATCATCCGACATTGCGAAGTTTATTGTCTCTCAACAGGCAGATCGTAGTTTACGGGTTTGTGATACAAAGTTTCTTACAAAATTAATTTATCAGAAAAACACTTTTTGAAGTTTAGCCTGATTACAGAAGCTCCTAGTTATTTCCAAAAAACTATCAATCTCTCTGAAAGTCGCCATCTCGAACATTTACCAGGATATTCAAACTGAATGAATTAGTATTTTCATATTTACACAATAAGATACCATTCTCTTCATGATGCAAATGTATAGTAATTGTGAAAAGAAATGCACTTATAAGAGTTACCATCCTCTTGATTGCTCCCTGGCTTTTTGTTCACACACTTACGCCTAAACCCGAATTGCAGCTATTTAAAATGGAGGATGTGAGCATGGGAATGTGGGTAGAGCAGTTTAATAGCACGAAAAATGCAGTAAAGTATTCACATAGCTGGAAATACTGCCAATACGGATGCATGGAAGATTACCACACGGCACACTATCAATCCCCAAGGCAGATGATCTGTTTATGGGACAATTTGATGAAGGGCCGTCCTCGTTGCTGTAACATCTGAGCCAGGGAATTTAAAAGTTTCAAGATTATCAACATTCCTTTGAAATCTTCTGTGTTGTCATCTGATGAGGTAAATCTAAAAATGCACTTTTTTTTTTGGTGTACAAGCTGTACAGGATATGGCCGTGACATTTTAATGATGGGTTTAGCTGCTTTTGTGGTTGTTAGGGTTATACGGGTATTGGTAACAATCTGAATGGAGGTATAGTTTTCTCCAAAAGCTAAGTTTTGCTGGATCGATCGTGTGTTTTAGTGGTGTTCGGATTTAGAACTATGCATACGTGCTAGGTTTCGGTAGTTGGGGAATTCTTAGAACATGTTTTTTTTTTTTTTTTTTTCACTTGCCTTTGATTTGAGATTCTATCTGAAGTTGCTGGTGGGTGCATGTGAATGGACATTGTATTTTTTCATGCAAGTTTTATGTCCCTGTATCTTTCCATCCTTTTAGAGAAGAATAGGCTTGTAAACGAGCCGAGCTTGAGGTGCTCGTGCTCGAGCTCGAGCCCTTAACGAGTTGAGCATGAAATCGAGCTCGAGCTCGGCTCATTTATCACTAATAACGAACTGAGCCTTAACGAGCAGATCTCGAGCTTTAACGAGTTGAATTATAGAAAATTATATAAAAATTCTCTTTTTGAGCCTTATTGAGTCGAGGCAAGCCATACTCGTTTAATTTAACTTCATTATATATGATTTTTCTTTTTCAGATATTTTTATTATTTTATCAATCACCCTATGGCTATGGATTAGATGGCTTTCCTTTCTAATTCGTGGGTTTTCTATGTAATTCGTCCCGAAATTGTATAATGGTGCAAATGCATGAGGTCGCATCCTGATCAAGAAATCTCTTAAATTTGTATTTTAAATACTATAGTAATCATATTAGACAAGCCACTGGGAGGCCATTTTACCGATTCAATAAATATCAAGTAAATTTTTTATTAAATTAATTAAAAATCAAATAAGAATTTATTCATACTTATATTAAGTGTATGGCTTTTATATTCTAAAAAAAATAAATTGATAAAAAGTAAGCATACTAACAAATGAAAATAAATTTCAATATAGACTGAATAATTATTTAAAAATCTTATATTAGGATAATTTCTTTGTTAAGAGATAGATGAATGTGACTTTTAGCCATTATTTATACTTTATAGGTCTGCTGATAAATATTATTAGGCTGATTATAGCCTAATCTTAGAAAATCTTTTTAGGCCCAACACTATACTACTAGCATATGGCCTTTATGAAAGTTCATTGGTAGAGCTAACGAAAGTTTGGGCCGGCTCTATATTCCCCTATCTCGAGCCCTAACAAGTACAAAAGCAATAAATGAGGGCTTTCATAAAAATATGTCAGCTTAAAATGATTTTTTTTTTTTTTTGTTAATTAAGGTTAATTTTAGAAAAAAATAGTATTGTTAGTTGTTAATGTATTTTCGAATTTGGATTAAAATAATATTGAAAACATAATAATTAATATTGATTTAATGTAGAATTATAACTAGGATGATGTGAAGTAATTCTTAGGTAAAATTATGTGAGTTGATGTAATATGTAAGAATGATTGATTGATATTTAATTATACTTATTTATAATATTAAGTATGGTGTGGTTGAGTTAAAATTGAGATAAAATTTGAGTATGAAATGAGTCTATTTATATACAAACACTCATTAAATATCCTGATTACATAATTATAATGTACTAGTACAACGCCCGTGTACTACATGGGTGCTTGGCTGCTTGCTAATTTTTTCATTAAAATATAAAATTAATGAGAAAAAAGTAATTTAAATACCTTTTATTAAAATTGATATATTATTATATATTTAGTATGACACTTTTTACTTGTGTGACTTACTTGGTTATATTATAATAATTTTTTTAACTTACAACATATAACTCATTAAACATAAATATATCATCTGAGAAATAATTTTATTTTTCTAATAAATTTTAATAAATATTAGTATTTATTATTATTATAAAGATAAATACAATTTATTTATTTTATATATACAATATGGATGTCAAATCGAAGATCATGAAAAGATGATTAATTTGATATATTATATATGTGAAACCGATAAGAAATACAAAAGTTATCAATTTTTAAAATACATTTATAATTCAATATCTAATTGAAAGGAAACAAATAAAAAATCAGGGATACATTAGTCATTTAGTGTCTCACTATGTAAAATTACAAATAATTAAAGTGTATATTAGTACAAGTGATATTAAAATACCTAAGTTAACTAAATAATATATATGGAATGTCCGAACCTAGATTATTAATTATTAATATCTCAATATTATTTGTCCACACCTAATTACGAAGCATGATTCTTCGCCAAGTAGGATTTCGAAGCACCAGAAACAGTCACGTAAGCTCAGCGCATTCGGAAATTATACAGGGGATGTGATGCCTAAATGCCTAGATCAATTTCAAATGTGTGCTGAATAAATCGGATTTAATTTGATTTATTCAATACATAATCTCTTACTCCATTTGGTCTAACAAAATACTTAATTTAAAATAATTTAATTAAATACATAAAACCATTTTTATGTAAATATAAACTAGTCGTGGCCGGTGCAGTTTATGGGATGATATATTTTTTCTAAAACTTTTTAAATATTGAATATTAAATATTATGAACTTGGTATATATGTACATATTTAAATGGGTCGGACAATTTAAAAATTCAATTGAATACTTCCCTTTTAACTACCTAACTATTATATGTAATAATGTAAACAAAAAATTCATTAGTTATTTAATAAACACTTTAGATTTGTATAATTCCAGCCATATGATCCACGGTCCCGATATTCGCGCTACGAATCTTACCCAATTGCCACAATTTTATATAATTAGCAATTTTATTTTATTTTTTTTCATTGAAATTTTTTTAATTGAGTCGACTGGTCATATATATTCCTGATAAAATTATATATTCAGAATATAATAACAGGTATTCATTTATATTGTTTATTCATATATGACATTTAATTAATAATCAAATGTATCGTTTATTAAAATAAAAAATATAATTATTCAACCGTTAAATTTATCATTTGTATAATTTCCACGAAAGTGATTCCTAAAATATAATCATATAGTTTCACACGCACGTATACCTAACTAATAACAACTTGTGGGCAGAAAATGGAGACCTACCACTTTAATTACAAATTTACTTTTGCAATTTTCTTTTTTATTTATTTATATATATAAAAATCCTTGTGCGTAATAAAAAAAAAATATACATATATAAAAATATTTATCTTATTAGATTAATTCAACTTGATAACTCCACTGAGACGTAGATTTTTGTTAGAATATCTAATGACTAACTAGTAACACTTTTAATAAATATACATATATTTTACTTAAATATATTATAATATAAATAAAATTAAGACACTTTACAATTTTATTTTATTTTTTAAAAAAAATATATATGTCATGGCTGATAGTTTTTTTTTTGGTACATGCACCTTCCGGTTTCCGAATCCACATGGGAACCGACTAATTCGGAATCGATCCGGGTAGGACCACAAGGACGTCAAAGCTCTCCCTCAAGAGTTTTAACACTGCTGCATTCTCAGGGCTCGAACACAAGACCACTGGTTAAGCTGGAAAAGACTCAAGTCATCTCATCCAAGCGCTCTTGGGTTGTCATGGCTGATAGTTAACTAGACTCACGCTAACATTTACGTGTAAATAATTATGGGGCGGAGAGATATTAGTTGACACGTAATCTAATACAAAAACAATTACAAAATAATAATAATAATAATAATAATAATAATAATAATAATAATAATAATAATAATAATAATAATAATAATAATAATCTATATATATATATAATTGCTAGCATATGAGCATTAAATTAAACCTATTAAATTATACCGATGTGGCAATATAACTTTTCCCTCCAAAAACCGTTACTTTTTATTTATTTAACGTCTCATTTAATTATTAGATAATCAACAAACTAATCACTTTAAATACAAAAATAATTTTAAATTTTTTATTTAATTACAACTAACCATATAATGTGTTGACTATTTAACGTGATTAGATGTTATTGTTGTGGTTACAATTAAATTGACTTCTTTTGAAAAATAAAAAACATATTTGAAATTTCTAAATAAATAATAAATAATTCATAAAAAAATACATACCAAAATATACATTACATCCAATATGATAAACGCAATTAAAAAAATATATATTCGAGCTCTTTTAAATGTAAATTGGGCCGACAAAAAGTGCAAGAAAAATTATTAATCACTATATGCATATAAATAACTCATAATACTTTATTTACATTTGTGCAAATGCACATGTCGAATACTAGTAATAATAATTACAAAGATTAAGACTAACTTTACTACAATCCAACCCAACACTAACTTAACAAGAAAAATTATTTATCACTATTCTACTTAGACAACTCAATCTTATTAATTTCTATTTTAGTAAGTAATTTTCTCTTCCACCTATACAATCCAACTTTATTATTCTCCGTCTTATGTGGTACTTGAATTTTTTTGAACTAACACGACTTTCTCCACACTTCATATTCAGGACGAGAACGAGTTGAATTAAGATCTATTTTTAATTCTCATTTATATGTTTTCGCATAACTTCTTCAAATACATAGAAGTTTGTAAAGTATTGTTACCAATGACTTCATAAATTATATGTGCTTGTTTTTCAACATCTTTCATGCGCACTTCTTTTATATTATGTATGCTTCAATTTACGCATTTTTCTACTTATTTAAATTTTCATTAAAGCGTTTATAATGATCTTTTATAGAATCAAAGTTCATTTCACCAATTTCTTATGGATTTTCCAATTCATCTTGTTCAAACATTTCTGTTATGCGGGCCCATAATGAAGAACACTCCTGATTTTCGCCACAACGTCTTCCTAACGAAACACCAAGCT